CCGCCGAAAACCCACGACGCCGCCCGAAGACCTCGGACCTCGAACCCTCGAACCCCCGAAACTCCCGGAGCTCTCCCCCCCTCGCTCGCCGCCGCAAGGCTTGGAGCGGGCATTCGTGGCGAGCGGGCATCCGCGGCCAGCGAGCGCGAGGGAACTGCGAGGGAACTCCTCCTCCTCCTCCTCCTCCTCCTCCTCCTCCTCCTCCTCCTCCTCCTCCTCCTCCCCCTCCTCCTCTCCCCTCCGCGCGCGGAGGCCCGCGCGAGGCCGCTGCGAGGGGGGCGCTGGCGGCGGCCCCCTGCAGCGGGGAGGCGCACCGCTGCGGCCAGGCGCGGGGCGCACACTTGCGCCGCGGGCGGGCGCCGGCAGCGGCCGGGTCCCCAGACCCCCTCGCGCCATGAAGGAAGCATGGCGCGATGGGCCCGTTTGCCACCACCACGACCATACACAGGAGGAGGGAGGAGGAGGAAGAGAAGGAGGAGGAGGAGGAGGAGGCGGAGGAAGAGGAGGAGGAGGAGGAGGAGGAGGAGGAGGAGGAGGAGGAGGAGGAGGAGGAGGAGGAGGAGGAGACCTCCTCCTCCGCCCTTCTGCTCCATCCTGCATGTGGTACTGGCGGTGGGAAAGGTGCCCATCATGGCGGGAGATTGTTCGCCATCTTCGGCCTCTCGGGGCCCTCGCCGGGCCTCGGGGCGAAAAAATGGTCCCGGGGAATGGGTCGAGACCTCTGGCGGTCGACGTCAGGAGCAGATCACGACCTCGGGGGTCTGGGTCGGGCACCCCGCAGCCACGGAGAGGGCGCGCGCGGAAAGTGCACAGAGTCAAACAAATGTCACACTGCTGAGAAAATGGACTTCACTCTCCCAGCGTTTCCTGACAAAAACAGCAGCCAAAAAGTTCCAGAGAGACAAAAGTTCTGCGACAAAAATGCTCCACGAAAACGCCCAGGGTCAAGGGCAGATTCTTGGTCCTCTTAAGCGAGATCTGGCGCAGTTGATGTTTTTTTTTTCCTGAAGCTCTCTGATGGGTGTAGAAGCCTCCCAAATGGAATCCGAGCAGGGCGGGGTCGGAAGATCGCGCCGCATCGCCGATGCATCCGCGACGTCGGCGATGCAACCGCGACGTCGGCGTGGAGAAACATCGGCGGAGCACAAAGCAGCGTGGCATCATGCATCTGCACAGCCGGCCTCGGCGACAGCAGAGCGATGCGGCGAGCGCGTCCGCGGCCGTCGCACGCGAGTCGCACGGGATCATCGCGGGGAGGGAGCTCGGCGACAGCACGGCGGAAGCACCAGCGCACGGTCTGCACAGAACTGGCCCGCTCTGGAAAAGCTGCCGCCGCAACGGGAACCCCTAATTGAGCAGGCCTCGAGCGAAAACGAGGCGCCTGGATAGGACCCTGCGCCTCGGGGCACAAAAAACACAATGCAGGAGGAGGAGGAGGAGGAGGAGGAAGACGAGGAGGAGGAGGAGGAAGAGAAGGACGAGGAGGAGGAGGAGGAGGAGCAGGACCAGTGTAAACCCAAGAGTCATACAACGGTTCATTTCCATTGAGGGAACTGCCTCGTCGGAAAACGACCGTTTGAAGATCCTGGAGCATGCCAAAACATTGTGCTTGGGATTTCAACGCCATGTATCAACCTGACTGCTGCATCTTGACGATCCGAAATCGTGCCAGAGCGCCATTTTTGGGACTTCAACACCGAGAATAAACATAACTGTAGCACCCGCGTAATCCTGAATCCTTCCTAAACACAATTTCTGGTACGCTGATCATGGAAATCCGCGAGGCCCTTGCACATTTTGAAAACGAATGTGCGCAGCGCTGAGGCGAGAACCACATTTTGAAAAAGAACCGCCTTCAACCCGTGAAACTCTTGCACATGTTGAAAACGAATGTGCGCGGCTCTAAGGCGAGAGCCACATGTTGAAAAAGAACCGCCTTCAACCCGTGAAACTCTTGCAAATTTTGAAAACGAATGTGCGCGGCGCTTCGGCGAGAGCCACTTTGAAAACGACCCGCCCTCAATCCGTGAAGCTCCTGCATATTTTGAAAACGAATGTGCGCGGCGCTGAGGCGAGAACTACATTTTGAAAACGACCCGACCCCCATCTGTGAAACTTTTGCAAATTTTGAAGACGAATGTGCGCGGCGCTAAGGCAAGAGCCACATTTTGAAAACCACCCGCCCCCCATCTGTGAAACTGCTGTCACTTTTTACGGTTCAGAATCATAAATGGTGAGGAAGTCTGAGGCGCAACGCCCGGCCCGCCCTAAAAACTTGCCCAGGGGTGCGACAGGGAAAGCCTATCTATAAGGAACAGGGATGGAGGAGGGGGAGGGGGAGCAGGCGGAGGAGGAGGAGGAGGACCTCCGCCCAAATCGAGTCGATGTGCCGTTGGAGGAGAAGGAGAAGGAGGAGGAGGAGGAGGAGGAGGAGGTGGAAGGAGGAGGAGGAGGAGGAGGAGGAGCTCAGCCAGCCTCGGACACCTCAGACCCTCGCACACACGACCCTCGAAGCGACCCTCGGGCCTGCGGCTCAGCCTGCGCCTGCGATCCGGATGCGGCCCGCGAGTCCGCCGACCCCCGTGGGGGGCACCGGAGCCCACGCCTCCTCCTCCTCCTCCTCCTCCTCCTCCTCCTCCTCCTCCTCCTCCTCCTCCTCCCTCCTCCTCCTCCGCCTCCTCCTCCTCCTCCTCTCCCTCTCCTCCTCCTCCTCCTCTCCTCCTCCTCCTCCCCAGCTTCTCCCCAAGAGGTGATCTCGCGGTCTGGAACTGGAGGGGGGGGGGCCTCGACGGGGGGGTGGGGGGGGGCTAGCGCTTCAGAGAGGGGCTGGGGAGGGCATGGTAGGGGCTGGAATGGAGGAACGGAGAATGGCATAAACATTAAAACGCGGAGGTCCGCGCGGATTTCTCGGATCTGCGCTGGACCCCCCTGGCGGCGTCTCTGGCGCCGCCCCTGGCGCACTCCGCGCGCCAGGAAAGGGGGTCCAGCGCCGATCCGAGAAATCCGCGCGGACCTCCGAGTTTTGATTATGTTTACGCCATTCTCCTTTCCCCATGGAAGAACCAGCGGCATACTGGGCACCCAAACAGCCGAGGCCCTCCAGTAGACGCGCCTGCTGAAAGAACCGAGCGGGAGAGGGCTGCTTTATAAACGCACCGGACAATCTAGCAAACGCCTGTTCTGGGGGTCGGGGTGGTTCTTCCTGAAGAAGAATCACCCCGACCCCCTGAACCTCGATAGCCCAGGAGCACCCGTGGCTGGTGAGAGTCGGCTAAATCATTCCATTCTCAGATCGTGGGAGCCATCCTGGAGATAGAGGCACTCCACGACGAGCGAGAAACGAAAGGCACGGTGTTGGATCCTGACTTCCTTCAAGGCCGAGCTATTACGACAATAACGCGGTTCGTAGGTCAGCCTGGAACCATCGAGGGAGGACCTCCCTCTGTAGCCCAAGTAAGACGCAGCCAGGACGAAGCCGAAATCGAGTGAAGATGAATGGCTCTGGAAAATGCCTCGGGCGCCGCGGTATTCTCAGAGCGTCTGAGAGCGTTCCGGAACGCTCTGGAACGACGTATCCTCGTCCTGGCCCAGGGCGACCAAGGCCTGCTGGGACCGGCCCAGGGCGGCAAGATAGGACTCCAAACTGCCGCCCGGACGGCCCAAGAGGGCCACGGGCGACGCAGCGGACGGCACAAGAGGCCCTCTAGAACACATCAAGGGAACTCGAGGACTGCCACAGGCGCACGTGAGGCTCCAATGGAGGCCCCGAGGACCGAAGCCACCGAAAGCCGCAAGCATGCAGAGCAACTCGCTGTCACGGCGCTCTTGCCTCCCTTGTTCCCAGAAGGCAGCAGCACTCCAAGGTGGCCCATGAGAGCCCCAAGACGCGCCATGGACAGCATCCCCGGCGGCGCGCCCGCCCTCCGGGCGGCGCTGGCTCACCCCTGCAGGGGGGGGGGGGAAGCGCCCAGCAGGCGAGGCCCGCCGTCTGGCGCTGTCCTCCTCCTCCTCCTCCTCCTCCTCCTCCTCCTCCTCTTCTTCGTCCTCATTTTCTTCTCATGATTATTATGAGTAGTAGTAGTAGTAGTAGTAGTAGTAGTAGTAGTAGTAGTAGTAGTAGTAGTAGTAGTAGTAGTAGTAGTAGTAGTAGTAGTAGTAGTAGTAGTAGTAGTAGTAGTAGTAGTTAGTAGTAGTAGTAGTAGTAGTAGTAGTAGTAGTTAGTAGTAGTAGTAGTAGTAGTAGTAGTAGTAGTAGTAGTAGTAGTAGTAGTAGTAGTAGTAGTAGTAGTAGTAGTAGTAGTAGTAGTAGTAGTAGGAGTAGTAGTAGGAGTAGTAGTAGTAGTAGTAGTAGTAGTAGTAGTAGTAGTAGTAGTAGTAGTAGTATTGTTCTTATTAGTAGTGTTATTATTGTGGTTCTTTTTCTTATTATTAGTATCAGTGTTCTTCTCACCCGTCTTCCTCTTACGACGATTATTATGCTTATGATTACTATTCTCAGTATTTGACGTCTTCGTGTTCTTCTTATTCGTATTATTATCCGAAATATTATTATCAATATTGTTATTGTTTTTCCTCCTCCTCCTCACTCCTCCTCCTCCTCCTCCGCCTCCGCCTCCGCCTCCGCCTCCGCCTGAGCCTCCGCCTCCGCCTCCGCCTCCGCCTCCGCTTCCGCCTCCGCCTCCGCCGCCTCCTCCTCCTCCTCCTCCTCCTCCGCCTCCGCCTCCTCCTCCTCCTCCTCCTCCTCCTCCGCCTCCTCCTCCTCCCCCTCCTCCTCCTGTGGTGGTGGTGGTGGTGGAAAATCGTCCTAGCAGTCAAGGCGGCGCCTGCCGGGCCTCGCCTGCCGGGCGATTCCCCCCTGCAAAGGTGAGCCGGCGCCGCCAGGGAGGGCGAGCGCGCCGCCAGGGATAGCGGGGAGGCGGAGGGGAGGGGCAGAGGAGTGAGGGTGAGGAGGAGGAGGAGGAGGAGGAGGAGGAGGAGGAGGAGGAGGAGGAGGAGGAGGAG